CCTCTCGGGCTGCCGGCTCGGACATGGGGTGAGGGCAGGAGGTCTCCTGGCTGCGGGCCAGCACGGTCGTGGGGCCAGACCCAGATCCTGCCCTGAGAAAGGCAGATCCTGGCAGGCTGTCACACTACAAACGTGGGTGCAAATCCAGCTGCAGATCTGAGCCCAGCATACCCTTGGTGCAGCCAGAGAGCAAAGCCAGTCAGTGCCCATGGCTGAAAGAGCTGACCCCTGTCTGCAGCATCTCCCCTGCAGCCCCTCCTGCTCTGTCCCTGGTCACCTCCACTCCACGCCCAAGCTGATGTCCATGGGGGTGCTGCTGTTCCCAGGGGGCTCAGCACTATCCACACCAGACACCGTTTCCACCATCAGAGGGCATTGTCGGATTAATTTTTATCCCAGCTGATGGTTTTACCATTGGGGTCAGTGATGGTGGTGGCTGGCTGGCTGGCAGGTGTTCTCCTGGCGTGCTCACACCCGGCCTTGGACACCGATGGGCATGTCCTGGCTCCTTGGATGTCCCTGGCATCTCAGCGCGTGGCTTTGGCCAGTGGGAGCCTTGGGGAAGAGGGGCTGGGAGTGGGTTGCGTTAGTGGGGAGGTGCTGACATGGGGGAGAAGCAGCAGCTCCAGGACTGTGTGGTGCTGCAGACTGTGCCCTTTGCAGGCTCTTAATGCAGTCATACAGGGCAAAGACTGTGCTTGTAACCCCGCAGGGGACCAGAGTGGGTAACAGCATCTGCTTTTAGTAAGTTCTTCCCAGGAAAGGTCTGGAGAGCACAGAGTGGAAAAATCCACTTGGTGTTTTATTTTTCTTTTTTTTTTAAAGCAATGACTCACGTGCTTTTTAATTTATGAGCATCCCTGTTGTCAGGTTTCTGAGCACCTTAGCAAGGACCAGGCAGAGGCATCAGTTCCGGGAAAGCAGCCTCTTGCAGAAATAAGATGCAAGTGGGAATCAGACCTGTGCTCGGTAAACAACAGCCCTAATCCAAGCTACTGCTGTGCAAAGGGACCATGGGCACGGGCTAGGGGGGTCCTCTCTACACTGACCTTGGGTTGCAACATCCTCAGGCACTACTGAGGAAGGATCTTGGGTTCTTCACCTGGAGGAGGCCGGGAGGATGGTTAAAAGCCCCTCCCTTGTGACGAGGCCCAAGGAAAGGATTTGCTCCTCTCCTTGCTGTTGCTCTTCTGCTCCACTGCCTTTTTTGCCCGACGTGAGCCAGGGTATATCAAGGACTTTGCAAAATGTGGGAGGGTGAACCACTCATCTCCTCTCTTTGCTGCCCTCCTCTTGCTCTCAGAGAAATGGAGGAGCCCCCTCCAGGCTGAACAGAGATGGCTGCAGCAGTGGGCAGAGCGGGTGCCCAACAGTCCCGTGCGTGTGCACAGCAGTGCTCTCTGTAGCTGGCTAATAAGACACCCCCCCCCCAAAATCTCACCCATCCAAGGTCCTTTTCCTCTCTGCAGCCCCTCCCAGCCCCCGCAGGAACTTTCTGCAGTCGCTTTGTCAGTTGGTGACGTCCAAGGGGCACGACCCTCCTGGGGCAGGGGCAGGGTCATAGGAAGTGTGTTTCCAAAGGGAGGCTGGTGAACAAGGGATGCTGATAAGAGAAGAATCCTGTTTAACTCTTCCCACCACCTCTGCAGCCCTGGAAGAGATCCTGCTGCAGAGCAGGAACCAGCCAGGTGGATATCAGCATCCACAGGGACCGATGGATGATGGATGATGGAGATGGAGCCGATGGTCCATCTCCAGCCACCTCCTCCTCAAATGTGACCACCAGGACAGCTAAACTTGAGGCAGATATATGGGAGTGAGAAAATGCCCCTGTGGCAGCATCAACACTGCGATGGTGTCCTGCAGCCGTCCCCCACTTGCTCCCACAGGTGCCTCTCTGCTCCCCTGGACCGTGGAGGTGGCTGCATCCACCCACAAACCTTGGGTCAGAAGGGTTGGGCTGCAGAGGGAGGGTGGTAGGAAGCAACGTGGGAGAGATGAGACAAAGGGAATGGGAGAGGCTTGCTACTGCTTTGCACAGAAGACAGGTGGAGAAAAGAGGCAAAAATGTAAAAGTAAAAAGAAAGAAGACACATGGATGGGACGTGGATCTCTGGGCACAGCTTGCCGGGGGGATGGGTGCTGCTGGGGTCTGTGGGGAGCCACTGGGGCAGCTAAAGGCCCTTCTTGTGGAGTGCTCTGGGGTTACACTTAAGGGTTTCCTTTCTGTGGTTACACTTAAGGGTTTCCTTTCCCTTCTCTGGTGGGGTTGAGAGTTGGAGGCTGACCCTCTGCTCTGTGGGGATGGTGAGTTCAGCACCCTGCAGGTGCTGGCATTGCCATGCGATCGCTTTTCCTGGCTCTTCCCTTGTCTCAGCCCAGCTCATCTCTTCCTTGTTATAGAGGGGTAAGAAAGGGCTTGAAAGCTCCCGGCTTCAGAAGTCACATTGCCCCAGGCTCTCCTGATTTTCAGCAGCTTCCCTCCCACCAGGACAACATAGAATCACAGAATCACAACCCTTTGCCCCAGGGCCCAGGCACCTCCGTGGGACCGCGAGGTGCCCGCAGCGTCACTGACTGCCGTGCTCCAAGGAGCCAGAGGTCTCCATCAATGGCAGGGGACCTCCTGGGTGGTTTTTTCTCATTTTACTTTATTTGCATGAAGATAAACTGTGCCTTTGTCTGTACAATTTCTCCTTAAATACTTGGCAACCCCTAAAAAAAAAGAAAAACAAAAACAAACAGGGTAAAAAAAAAAAAGGAAAGGAACAGTGCAGGCTACAATATCAAAACAGTACGGTGCTTGTGAATAAATAACCCCCTGGGCTAGCCTGGGGACACGGCTGTTCAGATTGCACAGGGATCCTGAGTCCTCGCTACCCCGTCCCCTGGCAGCAGGAACAGGGCTCAGATGAGGTCCAGGCTGGTCATGGAGGATCCCTCTCGGCTCTCTCCCAGCTCCTAGTTGTCCGGCTCAGCCGTGGTGGTGCTGACGTTTTTGTTGGTTTTGCAGCAGAAGTACTGGTTCCAGATCTGCAGGAAAGCTGTCCGGAACTTCTTGATCCTGAAAGCGTAGACAATGGGGTTCATGGCCGAGTTGCCGTGGGTGAGGAAGATGGCGATATAGGTGAGGATGTGCGGCGTCTCGCAGGTCGGGCAGAACAAGGTGATGCAGTTGAGGACGTGCAGAGGGAGCCAGCTGAGCGCGAAGAGGAAGAGGACCAGCGCTAACGACTTGGCGATCTTCAGCTCCTTCCCGTAATACTTCTGGGGGTCGTTGGAGCTGGAGGAGACCTTCTTGTTGAGTTGCTTGCGGATGAGGTTGAAGACTTCCAGGTAGATGAGCAGCATCAGCAACAGGGGAGGCAGGACCCAAACGAAGAAGTTGAAGTACACCATGTACTCCATGCTGATGACCGTCTCAAACTGACACTTGATGACAAACTCGGTGTGGCTGGTGTTGAGCTCCTGAGTCCTCCGCATCTTGTTCAGGTTGTTCCAGCCAAACATAGGGGTGAGTCCCACCAGGAAGGAGACGATCCAACAGCAAGCGATGGCCACTGCTGCCCGCCGAGGTGTCACCACGCTCTTATACCTGTGGAAGGGATGACAACCACAGGAAAGAATTAAACACAAGCAGGAAACTCTGCCTCGGGGTTAAGGTGGTTCTGGCGGGGAGGTGGTAGTGTCCTTGTTGGTGGCATGATGTTCCTCACTCCCTTCCGTGGCAACCGGTAACAGCTTGTCCTGACGATGTTAACAGGCTGGTTTCTCTTCACGTGCCCTGTGGAACCTCACCCCATCTCCAACCACCACCCCCAGCCCCAGGGATGGACAGAGACCTCAGACATGCTCCTGGAGCTCTGCGGGTTGATGCCAGGGAATGCGTTAGCAACCTGGATGGTGCCTGCATGTTCAACCCGCATATCTAGGGTGGGTTTCATGTCACTCTGGCAGCCCACCTTACATCTGAGCACCCCACACCCAGAGAAACAGGTCACCCTTTCATCCCCACACTGAACCCGCCCTGCCGGGACCGTGTCCCAGACAATTCCCTCTGTGCCGGGGGCGGAAATCGCCAGCAAAACCATCCTCTGGGACCTGCTGGTCAGGAGGAAGGATCCATCGGTGCTAATGGACCCCTGGGGAAGTGTCTGGGCACAGCCTGTTTCTTCTCCTAA